TACCTAAAGCATGTTTTGCATCATCACCAAATGCTACTATCATGCATTTAGCTATGATCCGTCTTAGGCATTCTCCAATTCCGATTGGTCTCACTCCGGGACATTTGTCAATGGCTATCAATCTATTTGCCATTAAGGCTCTTATTTTATGCCAAGGTATTATTTCTCCATTTAATTTCATGGCTAAAGAAGCTATTGAAGATCTAAGAAGCGCACTTTTCTTTCCATGTCTTAACAAGAAATCCGTCCAATTTTCTGAGGAGCTTCCTCCTGGGCCACCACTTCCATGAAGTTGTCTTGCTACTTTCTCAACATGCTCTGCTGTTATTTCTGTGTTTTCTAGTTTGGGAACTTCACTCATGGTTTCAGGTAGTTTTATTAAATCTTTGTTTGGAATTATTTGGTCTGGATGTTTTTCTTTTAATAAATCATAAACTGTAGTGTTGGTGTCACCGATATAATCATTAGGATTAAGGATTCCTCCTACCATATTTTGGTTTACTACTCTTGATGCATCTTTTATTTTTCCACATTGAACAAGTCTGTTGAAATAAGTTTCTGTAAACTGTTTTTGTTCATTTGCATCAAGTTTTTTACACTTGTTCTTTAAAGATCTATCGCATCGGATGGCCTCATTTACTAGCTCATCATACCTCTCCTCCTTCCACTCATTAATTCTTCTATCAATTAGTCTTCTGATGTCTTTTGTTTGTTTTATCATTTTTTCCCTCTGCAAAATAACAGCAATGAAACATATTACTCTTTCAGAGGTTTCTTTTCCAGTTGCCAGCAATAATATTTCTTCCGCTAGTAATTGTACAAATTTGTCTCCAATGGATCCATTTGGCAAATTATATTGCAATCTTTTAAGAGTAACGATCTTTTCCCAACGAGGCAACCATCTAGATGGTACTTGATCCTCAGAGGATTGTATTGGATTTACTTCGAAATATTTTGAAAGATAATCAGGAGATCTGCATTCGGTGTGTTTGGGTGGATTAAGAGTTGTCAATGAATCATTAACTTTTTTAGAATGATCTTTGTTCAAGTGATTGAGGAATCTTGCATGACTTTTGAAACTAATCTCACATTTAGTACATTTGTTTTGATTAGTTTTTGAATCTATAACACTATAATTGCTGTATGTATCTATTTCCCAAGTTTTAGATTTTGGAATAAGTAGGTCAAAATGTCCAGACACAGGATTGCCAGATAATAGTAAATTTATTATTTTATTGTTATCACCAGAAGAGATTTTTATTGGAGGCTTCCTCATAGCTATCGTTCTTGTCATTATTCTTGGTTCTGTAGATTGAAGGTATATATGAAAATTAAGTTGGTATATTTGGGATAGAGCAAGGCATTCAAGGGACGTGCCGTATGTTCCATCATTCCTCATTAGTTGAATATATTTATCTTTCTCTGAAGCTTTGCTTTCATCAACTACAAATGTTTTTACTTCTTCCCAATGTTTATTTAAATACTGAACTGCTTGAGTTCGTAATTTAGAATGGCTATTTTGATTATTAAATAAGTGTTGACTTACAGTACGAAATAAGCAGTTTCCATCCTTCTCTATTCTTATAACTGAAAAATATTCTGCAGTCCCCATTCTAAGGTTCTTGATTGAGGTTTTTAAGGCCAATGGTTTTGATCCTCTTCTGTTATTTTTTACTTTTAAAGATAAAGTTGATCACTTGGATGAAATTTAGAATGCATTATTTTGTTAAAGATTTGATAAAAACTATTATAAATAACACTAATTTAAGTATTTTAGTAAAAATTAAGTGGAAGGAATATTTTTGCTTGTGTTTATAAAATTTGAGTCAGCTGTCTTTCTACTTCCAAGTGATTTCATCCAAGTGATCAACTTTATCTTTAAAAGTAAAAAATAACAGAAGAGGATCAAAACCATTGGCCTTAAAAACCTCAATCAAGAACCTTAGAATGGGGACTGCAGAATATTTTTCAGTTATAATATTATTAATATTCTTTAAACTTGGATTTGAACTTCTCCGCATCTTCAATTTCCCTTATGGCAGCTGGAATTTTATTGTAAATTCTTATGCATGTAGGTCTTGGTCCATCTCTCACTAAACTGGATGAAACTTGTGGTACATGTAACATTTCCTTCTGCCTCGTTGAATAGTTATGGATTTGTTGATTTTTTTGAAAATGTTCTGGCTTCCTTTTAACTGTCACTGCAGACTCAAGAATGAACAGAGCAGGCAGTGTGAGTATATATTCAGTTGTATAAAAATTGGTTTACAATGTGATAAGTAGGGTTCTCTCGCAATTGTTCTTACTATGCGTTTTTGAAGCAAAAATATACGCTCCGCCAAGGGACTATTCCCCCAAAATATCACACCATAATTCATTATGCTATTGAAGCATCCAAAATAAACTTTCAACAGTACAGCTTGATCAACTATCAATTGCAGCCTACGTACCAAGTGACACACAGCTTTCAGTCTTGCTGCTGTGGCGTTTACTTGGTTCTGCCATTTTAAGTCACTGGTTATTGTCAGACCAAGATACTTAATAGAGTTATCTACAACGATACTAGCTGCCTCAAGGCGAAGTAGTGGTGTGCTTCCAGGCTTCTTGCGGTTGTAGAATTGTATAGCCTTAGTTTTACTCCTATTTAGTATAAGATCGTTTTCTTTACACCATCCGCTCATTTCATTTAGGCCAGTTTGTGCCTTGTCTCTTAGCCTACCCAGGTCACTGTCCTGAACTAAGTGACTCACATCATCAGCAAAGAGCCACACTTTCCCTTCAGATAAAGAGTCGGGTAAATCGTTGACATAGATCAGAAACAATACTGGTCCAAGGTTGGAGCCTTGCGGCACTCCGGTGTTTATGGCAGGGGAAATTGTAGAACGGTAGTTTCTTGTTAGTCCTTCAGAGCTTGAATGTTTTACTGATACAATCTGGTGTCGGTCCTGTAGATAGGTAGAAATCCATTGGAGTGGCTTATCTTTAATTCCAATATTTGCCAGTTTAATTTTAAGTTTACTATGGGAGAGAAGGTCAAAGGCCTTTGTCATGTCATAAAACAAGCACAGGGATTCTTCCAACACATCCAGGTTGTCATGTATTGAGACTAATAAATAAAAAATTGCATCGGTTGTTGAACTGTTTTTTCTAAATCCATATTGTTGTGGTGATAAAAGATTGTTATGTGATAAAAAAGGATTAAGTCTTTTAAGGAAAATTATTTCAAAAATCTTAGAAAATGCACTTTGGACTGCCACTGGCCTGTAGTTTTTTACTTGATCTTTCTCATCCTTTTTGTGGATAGGCACTACCTTGGATGTCTTTAGTTTACTAGGAAAAACTCCATTTTCAAAAGATTTATTTATAATTTTAGCAAGTGGTTTAGCTATTGATTCTTTGCATGACTTTAGGAGATAGCAAGGGATATCATCTACTCCAGAGCTTTTTTTAAGACTAACCTTATCTATAACCTCCTTTACCTCACTTTCAGTAGTAGGCCATAAGCGGAAATCACCCGCACCATCATCAACACCCGATATCAGAGGCTCCTCTTCGCTTGTTCCAGTCAGTTTTAATACCTCCTCTACAAAGTAATTATTAAACACATTTGCAACATTAACTGGATTAGTTATGTGCTCGTCATTCAGTTTCAAACTTAAATTAACATTATTTACAAAATTATCATCACAAGTTAAACTTCTTACTATCTGCCAAGATTCCTTGCTAACATTTTTAGCATTATCTATTTTAGAATTGTAGAACTGTTTCTTGGTACTATTTAGAAGTTTGGCATGTTGATTTTTAGCATTCAAGTATTCTGTTTTTGAATTATTACCAGGCCTATTGTTATTTCTTGTCTCCCAATACAATTGTGTTAGGTTATCTTGTGACTGTAAAACTTCTTGAGTTATCCATTTAACTTGTGAATCGTTCTTGACATTAAAAATACCCTTTGGAAAACATAATTCAAATATATACAAAAATGTTGTGTAAAACTCGTCAAAAATAAAATCCACACTTGGATTTTCGTTATCAGTTTGCCAGTCTTGAGTTGCCATAATTCTTGAAAACAGTTCCAAAGATGAGCTATTTATTTTCCTCTTCTCAATGGTTTTCTTGATAAGGCTGTGTCTCATGTCGAGATTAATTTTGAGGTACAAAATATTATGGTCAGACAGTAAGGCTGGCAGTGCCCCAGAAACATATAAGCTTTCATCCAAATTAGTAATAAAATAATCAATCTGACTAATACTTTCCTCTGTTACTCTGGTAGGGGTTTTTAAGGATACATGCAGGCCATATGAGTCCATGGTGGAAGGAGTCTAAAACGTCATATAGACACTCTTTTTGCCATGATTCTGTCAAATTGTCCACATTTAAGTGTTGATTGTTATTATTCATTGTCATATTATTTTTAATATTTATGATATTATATCCAGGCAAAATCATAAAAGTATTAATAACTTTTGAACAGTAATTGTTACAGCAATGGGGAGTTACACTATTTTGTTTAGAATTATAAGGATCAAAACCACAAAACACATTAATTATAATCAATATACCCCGCCGCAGCAAGCCTGCAGACTAAGCGAATTTCCATTTACCTGCCTGGATTTCTTCTAAAATATTCCCTTTCCCTAAAAAGTATCAGATTTATTTTCTATTTAATTTATTTATAAACCATGTGTTTATGATTATATTTGCATTTAATTGTTTGTTTATTCCAGCAGTGTTTTGAAAATAAATATGTAATTATGTTCTAATATCTTAGAAGATGATTTGATTAGATTTTTTGTGAAAAAGTAAGAAATCAATCATGATTTAGTTAAACATTATTGTGATAATTTGTAATCTGTGTTCGTTAGTAACAATGTAAACTTAAGAAATGAACTGAGTCGACTCCGACGGACGAAGTTGGAGCTTGGAGGTTCAAACTTCTCAAAAAAAGTACGGAACTTTTCTTTTCTTTTAAGTTTAAATTTTTAATTTTCAATATTTTCATCATTTCGATTTCATCTCTTTCATCAAGATCAAGCGAAGCGCTGGCCGTGAGTACTGTTGGTCTAAATCAAGAATATTAAATTTTAATTTTCTACGAATTCGACTAATTGTTTGCTGTAGAGCAATGGAATAAAAATAACTGCGCCTACTTATAATAATTAATTAGCTTCTTCTTCTGGTTTATATCCTTATCACTTGACTAACCTCAATCTTGTTATCGAAATAGAGATTAGGCCTAAGTACTAAGTATTTTGGCTTGTTCAGTTGTCAAATTGGGTACAGTTTCTTAACTGGGCTATGCTAATATCGATTTAAACTATGGATTCGATTAGTAAACCTTCCATGTGATTTTTTCACCATCAGCAAGTTTGGTTGGTTAGGATAGGTTATGATGGTTTAATTTTATAATAGATATATTTGAAAATATTGATTATTAATCAATATTTCCAATTCGATAGTTTCAATCGATATTAGCATAGCCCAGTTAAGAAACTGTACCCGAACCCACTGCTCAAAAAAGGGAATAAGTTACTGTCATGGTAATTAGGTTGACTTATTTAAGTACCTAGGCCTAACTATTATTTCTTTTTGCGAGTTTCCCATGTAGGCCTAATAAGCTATCAAGTTATCAAGCCCTAACTTACGGTAGACCGACCCTTGACTGTTTGACCTTTTTGTTTCTTGATTTTCCAAGAAGCCAAAAAAAACACCATACAAATCACACAAGGCTATAAAATGAACTTATGGATTTAAAAATAATCTATTGAAACTAAGTTATCAAATTGAAAATATTAATTAAGTTAATAAACTTAAGTTATTGGATATTTTTAATTACCATTATAAAATGAAACTGTCATAACCAAACCTAACTTACCAAACTTGCTGATAATGAAAAAATCGCATGAAGGTTTACTAATCGAATCGATAGTTTCAATTGTTATTAGCATAGCCCAGTTAAGAAATTGTTCTATTAAAACAGGGTTTTATGGGGTTTTCTCCAATTTTTGACCCCTTTAACCTAACATAAAATTTTTCAGTGACTTTGTAAACTATTTTGTTGGTTATTTAACCCTTCACGGAAGGTTGACAGATAATATATCCGTCTAAGTGTTTGGCGATAAAGGACGGGTGGCAGATATATCCGCTTATGGTTTTTAATGTTCCGGACGGGAAGCGGATATATCCGCCTTCTCTTCAGACAGACTGGCAGGTGCTTGAGCAGTAACCATGTTTCGTGGCACCAAGGCGCCACTTTCCTGCTCTCTCCATGGCTGCGCTCTCCCGCACTTCCCTCTCTCTCCCTTGCCTACCCTCTCCCATGCACCACCCACCTCTCCTACCCCCCCCCCCCTTCGACGATTCGTGCTCAACACTTATTTATTGTTTACATATTGTTCTTTATTTATTGCCTAACGTTGTCATCGTCATATCTTCAAAGACGGGTAGTGGATATATTGTTCAGCATAGTTAAAATCGAGTAAAAATTATTTTTTCAGTATGAAGTGTTCCATTGTGTTTAAACTTATTTTATGTATACTTGTATGTATAACAAAACACAAATAAGGAAAATAATTTTCCTATAATTTTTTCCCGTTCTATGTCACGATTTTGCTCGTCCGGGAAGGGTTAAAAAACTGAATGGCCTAAATATAGTACCGTACAGTATTCTAATTTAGTATATTTAAGGGTTGTTGTTTGTATTCCTGATGGTTACATAAGTAGAAAATTCAAGAAAACTCTAGGCCTAAATTAAAAATCGTAACTTAATTTAAGTTATTCTTATGGAGAATGAACTGTTATTTTGATTGATTGATTTAAGAGAAAGCAGTCCAAACCTATGTCTTATGAATGTGCAGGGAATTGAACCTGTTCCTCCCGCAACGAAATCTGAGATGCTAAGTTTAAAGACTCGCCTAGCAACACCCACTTATGTTAGGACAAATGTTTTCAACTTAACGTAACTTAATTGTAAAACTAAATTCTAAGTAGTATCAGAATTAAAACCTACTGAGAGCTAAAGGGCAACCCCCCCCCTCTATATATCCATTGTTTACCATTCTCTACTTCTCACCTGCCACTCTACTTCTCAAGTTAGCCTATGCAAAACTAAATGGGGTATCCTTTGCTTACCGCCAAAAAACCGCTGGAAATTATTGATACAGTTACAGTACGTCATTCTTTTGGAAATTAAAACAATTGTATGGTAAAATTAAAACATGTTAAATACTTGATACTTGATACTTGAGCACTACATCGGTAACCGACAATGTCGGAATAGATTGCGTCAAACTTATAACTAAAAAAAAGAAATATAAAAACTTATGATGGCGGCGGGTTGCCAAAAAGTGGTGTGTCCTCTAGTTCAGTCAATGAATAGAGAGGTCTGCGCACCAAATAGTCCTTCAGTTTGTCTCTAAAAGCTTAAATAAGAAGGGAGAAAGAAAGGCCCATGGAAGACAATCCTATCCCCATTATATTCCATCCTGAATTATCACAGTGAGTTATGGACATCAACTTTTAACACCAGACTTTATCTTAACAGCCATTATCTTAATTTAAAATTATAAATAATACTTTAATTATTGTATACTTTAAATCAAGGCTTGACATTTAGTAAATTTTAAATATTTTCAGATGGCTACTAGTTGGGGAATAATATCTGCTGGTAAAATCAGCAGTGATTTTGTTACCGCCATGAAGAGTCTTCCTTCAGAAGATCACACTATTATTGGTGTTGCTGCCCGTGACAAAGTAAGAGCAGAACAGTTTGCAAAACAGCACAAAATACCTCTCGCTTTTGGATCTTACCAAGAACTCCTGGATAATTCTGACATAGGTAACCTATTTCAATATTTAAAATCTATGATTTGCTTTTGAAAATATTGTTAAAATATGAACATAAGGTATTCAATTTATTCAAATTTGTCTAAGATCAAAATTTAAAATATAACCTAAATAGGCCCAGCTTATAAATTATTCTTGCAATCTTAAATTGAGACTCAATAATCTTAAAAGCAATAACAAGCACCTTAACTAGCCATATCAACAACTGATCTTAGTGGTTGTCAAAACATGTTTTTACCACTTAAAGTTTTCCGTAATGTTATACAATTCTGAAGTCCATAACACTTGATTTGAGTCAAACTAAATACAAACTTTGTTTCAGAGGTTGTGTACATCGGAGTTTTGCATCCATATCATTTTGAAGTAGCTAAAATGAGTCTGGAACACGGCAAATCTGTTTTGTGTGAAAAACCGCTTTGTATGAACTTGAAAGAAACCAAACTACTTGTAGAGGTTGGTGGTTAACTGGCATGGTAGCTCAGTTGGCTAAGGCATTGTACGGGTTTTGAATCCCGTACATGTACAATCAGTATTAAGCTCAATAATGTATGGCTTAGCTGGTGAGAGAGGCCCACCACCATAAACGGCCCCTAAATCATCTGTGTTCGGCTTGTTGACCGCATTATTTAGTTTAATGGATTGCACGTAGATGTTTTTTTCTCCTTTATTTTGGGACACATTGTACTAAATATATTTTATTATAAGAGACATAAAATGAATAACAACAAAAAAGTATTTTAACAATGAAAGATTAAAAACTAATCAAAATTCATGTTTCTGGCCCATGGATTAATAACATTGACAATAATTAGGTTTTCTACATACATCTGTTAAATAGTCCAAAGTTGCAAGCTTTAAATGTTGTCTTCGCAACAAACTTATAAGCTGATGAGCAATATTAATTGTTGTACTATTTCACGGAGGTATGTAAAAAACATATATTATTGTCTTAAAAACTAGGCGTGTGGCTTAAAGTGTTGAGTTTTTAAATAATTTTTGTTTGATAGAGGAAATCACTGTTAAATGATTTAGGTCTATTAATTAATTGCACCTTAAAGATAAAACAATAGCAAGTCAAGAATGTTTTTTTATCCCACTTAAAATTATGAAATGTCAAATTCTACTCTTATATCATTTAGGTAGCCAAGAAGAAAAAGCTGTTTCTGATGGAGGCTGTATGGAGTAGATGTTTACCAGCTTATGGATATTTGAGACAGTTACTTCTCGACAAATCAATAGGTGATCCCCTCTTTGTGGACGTCTCATTTGGAGCCAAGATTGATGTTGACAGAATATGGTTTGTTGATTGTGAATGGTTTCCTATTTTCTCTGAATTTGACTTTTACTGTGATATTTAGATTTGCATGTATTTAGAAACTCTGCAACCAAAAACCTAGTAGTCTGGATTTCTCGGTGAACTCAATAAAAAAACATAATTAATTATTCATGGAACAGTTTATTCATGGAACACTATGTTTGATTAACCCGATTTCAGATGACCAGGGTTTTACCTTACATTGAACTTATATTAAAAGAAATTATACCATTTTTGCATTTCCACAGACATTCTCTAGTCCGAGAGAACTTTTAAAACATTTTCAAGTTCTCTCGAAAACTTTAGTAAAAAGGTCTGTAGGTATTTAGAATGTGGCAGGGACTGGCCATGTAAATCCTATGGCATAGCAGGAAATGTTGAAAGAATCCACTCTTTTCCTTTATTTAGAAAGTTACAGAGACAAAGTTGAATATCCCTTAGGGTGGCAGGAAACTGACAAAACCAATACCTTTTTTCTAAGAGACATAAGTTGTTAATCATTTATGGCAGGAAGAAGGAGCTCGGTGGAGGCACAGTGCTAGATCTAGGCATATACACACTACAGATGGCAATGCTAGTGTTTGGAGGTCAGCCGTCGTCTGTTGTTGCGGCAGGTCATCTCAACACGGAAGGGGTGGATGTAGACTCTGTCACTGTGTTGACTTACCCCGGAGGAGGAACAGCTGTTTGCTCCACCCACAGCAAAGTGCAACTACCTAACACTGCTCACATTGTGGGGACCAAAGGAACCATCACTGTAAGTTAGCTGTTAACTTATCAGCTGGTGGCTTTTGAAATCATTTAGTCTATTAGGATCAAATCAAAAATTTTCCACAAAACTATGATCAATGTAAACAAAATTGCAGATTTGTCTGTACACTGTGTATAATTATGAAGTCTGTCGTTACCTTTACATTTCATCGCCTAGACTAATAATGATGTATAGTTTAATCTTATGGAAATTTCTGTTTGTCTGTGGGTGATGCCAATTTTATCTACTCCAGAAAAAAATTAGGGCCCCAATCAAGATTAAAACTTGTGGCTGTATTCAATACATTTGTGAGAATCTCTTAGCTATGTAGACCTTAGTTATACCTATTCTAAAAAAAGTTAAAAAACCTGTTTTTGTACAATATTGGACACATTTTCTCCTGCAAGTTTGTCCACGTGAGTACCAATCTATCTATACCAATCTATATTGTCTATCAAATACCAATCTGTCATTTCGACGAAGATCCTTTCTACAAACTATCACTGATAATTTTTTAACGTTTATTAACAAAATACTCTCATATAATACAATTTGTGCAAAATAATTGTAAACAATATTATTTTATGTCTAGATCCACTCACCCTTCTGGTCGGCAACCAAGATCACGTATTCTCCACAGAAGGGGAAAACAGAAGAAAAGGAATTTTCTCTGCCAGAAAGTAAAGGCTCGTTCAATTTTGTCAACAGCGTTGGTCTTAGTTACGAAGCAGCAGAGGTGCGAAGATGTCTCAGAGAAGGTAACTATAAAAAATGTATGGTTTCAAAATGTACAATGATGAAATTAAAAACATCCAAATTACTATAATAAATTTTCCAAATTTGGAGATTGCTGAAACAATCAACTATCATGGTCTCAACTTAGTCTCTTCTTTTTTCTCAAACCCTCCAATATATTCAGTGTTATTTTTAATTAGATGTTTTTAGGCGAGGTTATTATATTTATCAATCTTGTTGGCTTCACTCGCCTTAATGTGTTAATCCAGGACCCGTCAAAATGTACACACCACAAAGACACAGTTACACATACACACACGAACCTAAAAAATCGTGCTTATATACTCCCTTGTTTCACAGGACCAAAATAATGTCCTGCTTCCTCAGGGAATGAAAAAGTTATTTCTCTCGCTCACGCGAGCCATAAGTCCTCGGGACCGAGGCCAGTCCGGATAACGGTTTGCCAGTTAAACCGACGTCCCCAAAAACTTGTTAAAACTGACAAGTTTGACCATTTAAATTCATACTGTATACAGTATTTGAATTAAATTTAGGAGAGCATTGTTGTTAGACTTGTGATCACTGGTCTAAAATATTTCCCACGAGAACAGTCGTTTCAGTACCGCCCACTTCCTGCCGATCTAGTCCGGTTAGACACCATGTCCGTGTTTTGACACCATTCTATGTACAGAGTACTAATATTGAATAAAGATTTTATTGATTGATTGATTGATTGGTTAAACCGATGTGCTGATAAAAATTGTCCGGTTAAAGAGATGTTATATCCGCCGAGTGTAGTCCGGTTAAGCCGATGTCTGGTTAAAAGGTGTCCAGATAAGAGGGAGCCTACTCTACTGCTGCACAATTAACATAACCCTAAACCTATAATTTTTACGTTGTTATGCAGGTTTGTTATAACCAATTTACTAAATAACATCTTGATCAGCATTGTATGTGTTATCAAATTTGCGGAAAGTAAATAAATGAAACGTCGTAAAACACAGATTTATGCTTATACTGTTACTCACAAGACGGTAAATATAAAAATAGATGGTAAGTGGTGATCAATATTGGGTCTGATGATGATTGGAGTGTCCAATCTAAATCGATCACCACTTACCATCTTTTTTGCATATTTACCGTCTTGTGAGTAACAGTATGAATGTAAATATATGTTTAAGTGTTATAAGACGTTTCTTTTATTTACTTTCCATAATATAATACTGCACTGTAGTTGGACCAAACCCTTTTACCTATTTTGTTTGTGTGTATTTTGCGTTATACATTTTCTTTCAAACTTTGAGTGCATGGGAAAATGCCACTTTCGGTACTTGTAATAAAATTGTTTTTGTATATTTCAGGACTAAAGGAGAGCCCATTGGTAACCCATGAAGACAGTCTTACACTAGCAAGACTTGAAGATGAAGTGAGGAGACAGTTAAAAGTATTCTATTCTCAAGATGACTGATAAGATAAAATATTCGTAGAGTTTTTGGAAGGCTTTTAGTTTCAACAAAACTTTGTAAGAAGTTCACGGTTCTAAAATAAATTTAATTTGTGGCTGAACATCAAAGGTACAAAAACATTAAAAGATTTTTGTTAACAATACAAAAAAGACACCGATTAGTAATAATTTTGTTAAGTACAGGGTGTTTAAAAAATTACTTTACAACTTTTAAAATTCATATAAAATAAGTTAAACAAGGCACAGAGCTGGTTTTGGTGTTGTTTTAAAGGGAGGGAAACACATCAAGTTTTGACCCCCGTAATTCACCAGTGCCTAATAATGCCGCATAAGCCACACAAGCGCTGGCGGCAGTTACGTTGAAAATGGATATGTTAACTGAACCAGAGTGTGCTAGCTGTGTGTTTTGGTTTGAAGAATCGAAGTCGGCGACAACAGTTAAGCGTAATTTTCTGACCAAATACGTTAAAGATCCTTCTTGGGGCAGTGAAAATCAAAATGAAACATTGCAGCATGTTTGTGATAGCCCTGAAATGAAAGTTTTTTGTGCGTTGAGCAAGTGGGAAATGTACACTACTCTTTTCCAAGAGAGAACCATAAGCGGGATAGTGTACCTTGATACGATGCAACAATTTTTGATGTCAAAGATCAATGATGACGACCGAGAACAAAATGTTTACTGCATGCAAGATGGCGCACCACCACACTATCTGACACGTCCGGGATTTTCTCAATGACCACTTTCCAGATCAATGGCCATGATGCGCCAATTGCATGCCCCCCCCCCCCCCCTGTTCCCCTGACCTGACACTGCTAGATTTTTATCTTCTTGGGTTTCATGAAAGACAAGGTGTATGTACCTCCTTTGACGGCCACTCTACCTGAAGTTAGAGCAAGAATTAGCGCTGCCGCTGAGTGTGAATTAACACCTCAAATGCTAGTGCGGGTCTGGGAAAAAATCTACTACCGATGGGATGACTGCAGGATAACCAACAGAATCCACCAATAAAATCTTGAGTTTAAGGTAAAAAAAACAAGTGTTTTCCTTTAAAACAACACCAAAACCAGCTCTGTACCTTGTTTCATTAAATTTATACGAGTTTTCAAATTTGTTAAGTCCATTTTGAAACTTTTAATAAATAAATAAGAACAAGAAGCCAAGTTTCTTGACAAAAATGTTTTAACATGAACTGTCAGTAAAGAACTAAGTTTTCCATTGTTTATGTATTGTTAATTAGTTTAAGTATGAAAATTATTGTTCAAGTGATTGTTGAAAATAAATTTATATTCTTGTCAATGAGTTTCTTTCTTTTGCAGCAAGTATAAGACTTTTTTGTTAGATTAAAATCATATAAGGGAATTAGCCCTAGTTAACTCAATCTCCATATAGATCTGTTAACATTGGTTGCAATCAAATTTAAAATAAGAATTAATAAAATACTATAGTTCGGCCGCTTAGATAGCGACCTCCTCTAGCATTGGTTAGCATTAGCGCGCAGGTCGCTATCTAAGCGACCAAACTATAGCTGTTGTAACCGTGCTTTGCAACGGGAAGAAGACACGAAACATTTTGATCTTTACATCTGTTGTATAAAACTGTTACACATTCGCCATGCTTATAGAAACAAAATTCAAGATTTATGGCCTTTGTATAAACAGCTTGTAAATCTGGTATGTAGAGGAAACCGCCATTTTGGTTTTGATTAATTTTATATCTTGTGTAGGCTGATATGAGAAAAACTTACCAAATTTGAGGGTTGCAATTAAAACTCATATCTTGGATAAGAAGTTGTATTTATCAAGATTATATACACAACATTTATATTAACACCTTAACTTTAGAGACCGTCACGAACACAGCGCTAACTTCAAAACACTGGCGGGAAATAGTTTTAAAAGTTAACTATTGATATAAAACTCACATGAAGCAACTAATGAGAAAAATGCTGCTTTTTAAGGTGAGTCAAATTTGGTCAATTTCATAACGTTTTAAAAAGACACTTTCACACAAACTGCACATTTTTATTTGTCTACAGTTGTATTATGACAACTAAAATTTATTAAAACATTAATTGGATACAATGTTGTTCAAAAATCAAAAAGTTTGATCTTAAAGTCACATTTATCTAAAAATATTAGGCATACTTGTTCACTAACAATTAGGACATTCCTGTAGTCATAATGAATTCCTAAACAGGTAGGCCTTAATTTTGGTTCTGTTTAGTTGTCATTAAGGTAAAATGTTGAGAAATCAGCTGATTTTTGCAAACCAATTCAAGTGAACAAAATTCCACTTTGTATGACAACTGTAGACGAATGTTTCTTTTTCAAGTTTCCAGAAATATATGAGAAAATTTTACTTAGCAGCCAGAATTTAAATTAGGCAGCATTTTAAGTGAGCATAAAATAAGTAAATTGCGAAGTCAAGAAATCAAAATTAAACTAACTTCTGCAGTTCACTGTAGAAACCATTACTCTGAATATTATGTAAATATCCCTTTAATAATTGCTTAGCTAAATATTTGTACATTAATCTTACTACTTATAAAGTACAAAAAACTACATCAAATATTTACAATGCTTATTTATATTGGTCCTAGATCAAATGAGCAAGACACTTATTTTCTAGGAAGATTTTTTTAAATTAGGATCAGACTCGTTTTAGGTGATAATACACTAATCAGTCTAAAAGAAACAATTATATTGTAATAGTGTTGACCATTTATAAAAAAGTGTGTCGATTATTTGAACAAGGATAATACAAATTCTTTGAACTCAAGATTTTTCATTTTGATATGCTGCAGAACTAAACGTCAATCAAATTGTGGTAAATATTTTATGTTTGTGACTTGACTTGATTATGAAAATAAAACCTAGAATCAGTATCCTACTAAAGTACAATAATCAGTGCAAGAAAGCCCACTTTGTCAGGTAACTGTAGGAAAAGAGATTTTCCAATTTTCCCTTGTATCTGAGATTTACATTATGATCTAATTATCTAACATAATAATTTAGCGATTAACAGGGGTTTAAGTTCCTAACTTGTCCAGTACTACCATAATAAGAAAAGAAGTACACAAAGATTTAGTCATCTATAAAAGGCAAAGCCCTCACTGACTGACTCACTCACTCATCACTAATTCTCTTACTTCCCATTTACCTAGGAGGCTGAATTTTTGGTACACTGATTCTTTAGGCATTAAATAGGAAAACTAAGCTGTTTTTATTCTGATCGGGCTTTCGGGCTCCGCCCCAGTGGCTCTGGAGTTTCCCATGTTAGCCTTATGATTTTTCATATTTAAAAGGAATTAATGAATCTTAACAGCTGTTTCAATTAAACACGTTGGTTCTGTTCTATGATGTTCAATAGCATTAAAGTTACAAGGATTACCAACAGGGTGCAGCACTATTATTTTTTTAAATTTATGTTAACAGCTAATTTGCAACCAAAAGGTGAGTGAGCGTAGCGAACAAACTTCAACCAGGACGTGATTAAACGGGACAAAGCCCGCGGGTACAGCTAGTAATCTTTAAAAGAATCTTAGCTTAAGTTTACTTTACTTATTTTATTTCTTTAGGTTTGAAAGTTTTCTTTGATGGAACACTTTGTTCTCCTACAGGATGAAGAAATGTAAAAAAAAATTATCTTGAACATCAAATGAATAATAGTGATTCAAATTGCTACCTATTTTGGTTGACTGCATTTACTTAATTACATAATACTTTATACAATAGATATTGGAATCACCTAGCTGTCATCAGCAATTTGACATATACTATTCCCCGTTAGCTTGTCAACAACCCCACCCCCCCTCCCACAACGACCACGGGCAGGCACCTAAGCGGTACGAGTATCTATGATATTTTATGGGGGAAATCACAAAAGTTGCAACAACTTTTGGATTGTAATTTTTACAACATTGGGGGTTGTATATATTGTATAATTTTCTATCAAGTTAAAAGGACCATAACGTACTAAATTCTAATCAAAATTGTTTGAGCGGTTTCTGTGAAAATTAGATTTTTCTGTTACTTTATGGGTTTTCATGGGAAAATAACCATTTACAATCTAAATGCCTCGAGTTACCATGGATTAGCACCCACATACCAAATCTTCAAAATCGGAACAAAGGGTGTAGTCTGTGTAACCCTATACACACACACAAAGACATCCTTTAGAAAACAATACCTCAAAGTGTATTGAAGGGAAAAGTGAAAATAGCACATGGTTTATAATTTTAGTACTCTTAGTAGAAGATGATGTATAAAATGTTGTGTTGTGACATAGCTGGTAACTGTTTTAAAATGTTTTGCAATACAAAATAGCAACTTAAAATGCAATAAACATTTAAAGCATTTTCTTCATCAAGCCTAATTATTAACAAAATTGTTCGTAGAAAATAGACTGAATATTATAGAAATAAATCATGATCTTGAAAAAAAAACCCAAATAAAAATGGTTTTGTAAAAAATCATACAAAATAATAAATGTACATATTATTAATATACAAAATTAAAAGTAAACATATATTTAACTATGGCAATCCTATGAACACTTTAAGGTAACACTTAAAACACAAATAGCTTACCCGACCTACACAAACATTTAACAACAAGATTACTACCTCCCAAAAAAAAGTTTTCTTCTTGGTTTTTTTTCAATTCCCAAGCACAATTATTTTCCCTGCATTTTATTCTCATCTAACAATATCAACTACGATATTAAATACGACTAATGCTAGCCAATGCTACTAGAACAGTACCTAACTTCAAATTTAATTTAAGTTACATATTACCTTTGACTATTGACACATCTTCAGTATCCAATAATCAATTGTATTACATCAATTATGTACATTGAAACATGTATAATTGACCATATGATTAGAATACAGAAAATAAAGGCCATTTTCAAACAGCAAATTCAATATTAATTTTATTGAAATCAATAAATCAAAATAAAAAAAAAACTTTCACAAAAAGTGTCTCACATTTAACATACATTGGTGTTTTGTCCACCCTAATATTACGGCGAAGACATTTAAAATTGGTCAATAAAGTAGCGGGGAACAATAAAGTCACAGCACATTATAAACCAGCGGGTATAAAAGTGACATCGATCTCGATAACAGTAACTACTAACTTTTTGATTTTATCACATAACTAAATTACTATGACAAAGTTTAAAACGAGTACTAAACTGTACAGAGTTTCTAACTATCCACTAGGAATTGCAGCAGGGAGAGGGCTCAGCTCGGCTTGGATGACGGATGATGGTGGTCGGAGTGATCTCTTCTCATCACGATCTAATGGGCAGAGGACAGTCTTTAATCATTACAACTATATTAAAAGGCAGTGGTAATTACAAATATATAAAATTATAGCCTCCTCTATGGCTATTGCCATGGTAATTACAAAGTTTGAGAATGGTGAACTGCGGCATTGTATTTGAGGAGGATATAATAAAAGGCAATAGTCTACATCATTACAATTTTACTGCAGGGTGTCCCAGGAAGAGGTCGCTATTTTTGATTTAATAAACCAGACGAATTAAACATGCTACAAAATAGAAACTACTAAGGGCCGCTTTCCCCAAATCAAGTTTAACTTAATCTCGGTTAACTTTAATCTGTGGGTTAAACTTAGGATGGCTTTCCCCACTATTTTGTCATGAAAGTTTGGTTTAACCTAGCTTTTCTTTGCAAGCAACAATGTTGGCAACACTGTTATGCAATTTTGTCTGCAATATTAGCTGATAACTTCCCACT